ACTGTCTATGTAATCCTTGAATTCCTTCACATATTTTTCAGCTGCTTTTTGGTCCAAACTGGCAGCCTCACCATGCCTAATCACACTATGTATGCCACTACGATTCTTAAATCTTTCAAACCACCACTATTTGCAGGCAATTTCTTTACCAAATCGTCATGCAACTGCCTAGCCTTTTCACAAATGATCGCTTGAGAGATGCTATCTCCTGCTATCTGTTTTTCATTTATCCACACCAATAACAATCTCTCAGCATTTTCTAACACTTGCGGTCGCTGTTTCGTAATCTCAGTTGCACCTTTTGCAAGAACAGCTTCCTTGATTGCCGTTTTCCTGGTCACTATAGTAGCGATGGTTGATTGGGGTTTATTATACAACCTAACCAGCTCCGACACACGCACTCCACTTTCGTAATTTGCAATTATCTCTTTCTTCATTTCATAAGTCATTAGCGACTTTTTTCTTGAAGGGTTGGCACTAGAAGCTTTCTTGGGACCCATGGTGACTTATTTTGCAGAAACAAGCACCAAACACAGTGATAATATGGATAATATGGAATGTACCGAATGTATCCTTAGATGCGCGCACACTGGCTGGCTTGTAAACACTGGCACACAAGGGGCATTTCAGGCCACACGTGGACACATCTCATACGAATCGTATTGAATACCGGGTTTTCAATCGAATACCGAGGAAAATTTTTTGCGATGAAATGTATCGAATACCGGATTTATCGAATACCGATGCCATCGAATACCGTGGGTCCACTGTAGTTCCTTGGCCTGTATTCCCTAGAAAATTGGCAAGAAAGATATACTGTATCATCATTTATACCTAGAAAGTTCTTGAGGCTTTCGACCAAATCACATCTTACAAAAGCAAGAGGTTTAGCAGACAGTGTAAAATTCTGCAAATGAGAAGTAGCAATACTGTGAGTAATTTAAGAGGTAATTCAGTAAGTGTAGAGGGATCAATACTTTTCAAGACCCTTCATACTAAAGGGTGAATTTATTAACAAACTCTAGCTGCCTATAAGAAAGAACTTAATAAGCTCTACCAGTTCCTCACCAGCTGTTCTCTGGTGCTTGTGTTGTACTGTATGCAGTAGGCACTAACAGCTTTATCGATCAGTCCATCAACAAGGCAGTCATACAGTCTGGAAGCAGGTCCTGGGGCAGTGACTCCCAGAATTGTATACATTTAATCCACTCAGTTGCAAGTGTTCATTGTAGATAATACAGTGGACCCCCAGTTATCGGCCACTTCTGTTATCGGCCAACTCGGTGATCGGCTGGTTTTTCGGCACCCGGTTATCGGCCATTTAGGATGCGTTCGTCCGCTGGCTGGGGCTGCTTGCGCATCAGTTTGGCTGTGTCTTTTGGTGTGTGAGGAACCTGCTCATACATCCAAACATTTTGCTTGTTTTCCATTGTTTTTGTGGGTTTTTTGCAGTGCAACTGCGAAATAGGTAACCATGGCTCCAAAGAAAGTTCCTAGTAAAGTTCCTGTGGTAAAGAAGGTGAGAAACGCCATGGAATTTAAACATGAAGTGTGGCAAGCATGCAGGGAGTGTAACAGGCATGCAGGAAGTTTAGCAGACATGCAAGGAGTGTAGCAGGCATGCAGGGAGTGTAGCACACATGCAGGAAATGTAGCAGGCATGCAGGAAGTGTAGCAAGCATGCAGGAAGTGTAGCAGGCATGCAGGGAGTGTAGCAGACATGCAGGGAGTGTAGCAGACATGCAAGGATTGTAACAAGCATGCAGGGAGTGTAGCAGTTATGCAGGAAATGTAGCAGGCATGCAGGAAGTTTAGCAGGCATGCAAGGAGTGTAACAGGCATGCAAGGAGTGTAATAGGCATGCAGGTAGTGTAGCAGGCATGCTGAGTGTGTAGCAGACATGCAGGAAGTATAGCAGGCATGCTGGAAGTGTAGCAGGCATGCAGGAAGTGTAGCAGGCATGTTGGAAGTGTAGCAGGCATGCAGGAAGTGTAGCAGGCATTCCAGAAGCCAGCATAAATCTTCAATAAAGGTATGTAATACTGTTTTACTTGTTAAAAAAATTATTTTTTGGTGAATATTTTTGTCTGGAATGGATTAATTGTAATTGCATTAATTCTTATGGGAAATATTATTTCGGTTTTCGGCCATTTTGGTTTTAGGCCGAGCTTCTGGAGTGGATTACGACCGATAACTGATGGTCCACTGTACTGTGACTGTTTTGATTGTGGAAAGAGATATTGTGAACGCCATTATCTGCTCCAGTGGCCCACTGATACAAGTAACTATACAGTGTTAGGCCAGACCTGTTCAAGGAGAAGAGGTTAACAAAAACTTTAAGAAAAAAAGCTAAGTAATGATGGAGGTGAGACAGAAGCAATTGTGGAAGTCACTGGGCCACTGCACATGTGTCTCTGGTGTATCTTCACACTAGCAGGAAACAGACTACACCTGTGTCTGGTGTATCTTCAACACACCAGCAGGAAGCACACTACATAAGTGTCTGGTGTATCTTCAACACACCTGTAGTCTACCTTGAGGGTATTCTGGGGATCAGCGCCCCTGCAGCCCGGTCCATGACCAGGCCTCCTGGTGGATCAGGGCCTGATCTAGGCTGTTACTGCTCGCCACACGTAGTTCAACATACGAACCACAGCCTGGCTGATCCGGCACCAACTTTAGATATCTGTCCAGCTCCCTCTTGAAGGCAGCCAGGGGTCTGTTGGTAATTTCCCTTATGCCTAGTGGGAGGCTGTTGAATAGTTTTTGGTCCCGGACACTTGTGTTTTCTCTTAATGTACCAATGGCACCCCAACTTTTCATTGGGGGTATTTTGCATCGCCTGCCCAGTCTTTTGTTTTCATAGGGAGTGATTTCTGTGTGCAGATTAGGGACCATTCCTTCTAGGATTTTCCAGATGTAGATTATATATATATCATCTGCACTCCAGTGTGTACAAATCAAGTGCTTCCAAGCATTCCCGGTAGTTAAGGTGTTTGACGGAACTTGTATGTGCAGTAAAGGTTTTCTGTACATTTTCTAGATCTGCAATTTCACCTGCCTTGAATGGAAATGTTAATGTACAGCAGTATTCCAGCCTGGAGAGAACAAGTGATTTAAAAAGGATCATCAGGAAGGACACAATAACACAAGGAAGAGAGTGAAACAGAGAGTTTATCTCTTAACCCTTTCAGGGTCATGAGGCCCTCTCCTAAACTCGTTCTCAGGGTCGAAAATTTTTCGGAAAAAAATAATTATTTTTTCTTTTGAAATGATAGAGAATCTTTTTCTGATCATAATGAAACCAAAAGTATGAAATTTGACGGAAAACTTATGGAATTATACTCTCGCGAAGTCTGCGGTCTCGACAATGTTTATGCATCGGCGATTTCACCCACTTTGAGCCCTATTTTTGGCCAATCCCAGTGTACTAGTCGACAAAAATCACATCTATTTCACTAGAACTCCATTTTGTCTGACGAATGAATACAAGAAACCACCCATTTACCGATTTGAACTATCCAATAAAATGGTCAGAAATTGGCAATTTTGCCAATTTCACATAAATTTCAGAAGATGCCAATTTCTAAATAGGGTCTAGAATAAACAAGACAGACATTCCTGGCACTAAAATAACATTTTTTCTGTTCATTAGTCACGTCCCCAGGCCCCTCTTACATCTCTTTTGCTTTCCACTTTGAATTTTTATTCTCACAAAAAATAGATTTACTGTTATGCAGACTACTGCATTAGTGTATAAATGGTGTAGAAATGGTATAAATATCAGCGCACTTGTGAAAGAATATTAGACTCGCCAGTTGGCGTGTATTAGACACTTGGCATGATTTGTTTACTTTTGAACTTTGGTAAAAATCGAACATTTCTGCTACTTTGAGCTCAATTTCAAGGTACTTTTCATTATGAAACCAATCAAAATCTTCTCAATTTCTGTAATATGTCTCCCATTCTATAAAATGAGATGAGGAAAACTAAAATACAACCATAAATACCATATGAAAGTATGTACACTACAAAGTCGCTGTTTTAAACCCAAAACACGCACGGAGTGTTTTTTTCCTCATTATGCACTGTGTGCTGCAGGATTTTTTTTTATACTGTGCACACTGACCACATAGACCCATTCTTTCATATGTAGGCCTACCAGCTTTGTCTCACTAGATTTGAAGGTGCTAGAATTTAGGCATTCTAGTACGTCAATAACCCTGGTGTGTAAGCCATACTAGTACGTTGGAAACCCTGAAAGGGTTCAATGTTGAGTAAAGTGAGAGTAGGCAACATGTGGTCCTTCTTGATGACAGTGCAACATGTGGTACTGCTTGATGTCAGTGCAACATGTGGTACTACTTGACAGTGCAACATGTGATACTGAATATTAAAAAGGTATAAAATACCGACAAGTTGTTAGGTGAGACAGGTATGCAACAGTTAGGTATCTATATTTCGAAACGTTTTGCCTACACAGTAGGCTTCTTAAGTCGAGTACAGAAAAGTTGGTAGAAGCAGAAGAAATGCGAAGACATTGTAATCAGTCCATCACCCTTGAAGATTTAGTTTTGAGGTGGTCAGTCCTTCAGCCTGGAGAAGACTATTTGTTCCAGAGTCTGCAACAATTTGAAGTTGAAGTGACAGTATGGAGTATTGTATACTGTCAGGTGGTGAGATATAGGCCACTAGTAGAAGCAAGAATGTAATCAATGAGAGATCACGTGCCTCACAAATCCAACCATTCTCACTGTGTAGGCGAAATGTTGCATGTATGTCTTGCCTAACAGCATGTGGTATATACTACTTGATGACAGTGCAACATGTGGTACTACTGTATGACAGGTAGTGCAACACTACTATACTAAACAGTATATTAATCAACATTGTTGCATTAGTTAGCTTAATTTAAAATATTGGCTGGCATGTATTGCAGATTGGTTACTGAAATGTGAGATGCCACTGACTGACTGACTGAGCTTGTCTTCATGTTTCAGGATCAGTTGAACTGTTGGGTAACATGGCTTTCTGTGCCCCCAAGCAGCTATCATCGTGCCTTCCATCCATTGTGCCTAGGTTGATTGAAGTTCTTAGTGATTCTCACATGAAAGTACAGAGAGCAGGCGGTCAGGCACTCAGGTTGATCGGCTCTGTTATCAGGAACCCAGAGATCCAAGGTAATTATATCCTATAAATCATTTTCTACATCATCATTGTCTCCATTAACTGTGCCTTTCACTTGCCTGGCTTTACTGCATCATTATATATAATGCAATCATTGATTTAACATCTTTTGTTCTCATTAAGTTTTTTTTAGTAAAATCTTAGTTTTTGAACTACAGTTTACTAGAAAACTAAGTGACTTACGTTTGATGGTAAGAGTTTGCTTTCTTAGTCACTTCATTATGGCATTCATTAAACTGTTTATTATATTATTCATTACATTATTAATTACACTCTTCATTACACTATTAATTACACTGTTCATTACACTGTTCATTACACTGTTCATTACACGGTTCATTACACGGTTCATTACACGGTTCATTACACGGTTCATTACACTGTTCATTACACTGTTCATTACACTGTTCATTACACTGTTCATTACACTGTTCATTACACTGTTCATTACACTGTTCATTACACTGTTCATTACACTGTTCATTACACTGTTCATTACACTGTTCATTACACTGTTCATTACACTGTTCATTACACTGTTCATTACACTGTTCATTACACTGTTCATTACACTGTTCATTACAGTGTTTATTACATTGTTCATTATGCTGTTCATTCTTTTCAAGAAAGATTTTCTTGAAAAAAAAACACGATATTTACAATTATTATAAACTGTTATTATTTGATGTGTTATGGATCCTGACCAACACAACTGTAAACTAGTAAATGCAACTTGAAATATACTAGTAAAAATATAACTTCTTCTTTCTTTCAACACAACGGCCGTATCCCACCAAGGCGGGGTGGCCCAAAAGGAAAAGCGAAAGTTTCTCCTTTTACATTTAGTAATATATACAGGAGAAGGGGTTACTAGCCCCTTGCTCCTGGCATTTTAGTCACCTCTTACAACACACATGGCTTATGGAGGAAGAATTCTGTTCCACTTCCCCATGGAAATAGGAGGAAATAAACAAGAACAAGAATTAGAAAGAAAATAGAAGAAAACCCAGAGGAGTGTGTATATATACGCTTGTACATGTTATTTTCATATAGTCGGACTTGAGTCCTGGAAATGGGAAGTACAATGCCTGCACTTCAAAGGAGGGGTTTGGGATATTGGCAGTTTGGAGGAATATGTTGTGTATCTTTATATGTGTATGCTTCTAGACTGTTGTATTCTGAGCACCTCTGCAAAAACAGTGATAATGTGCGAGTGTGGTGAAAGTGTTGAATGATGATGAAAGTATTTTCTTTTTGGGGATTTCTTCTTTTTTGGGTCACCCTGCCTCGGTGGGAGACGGCCGACTTGTTGAAAAAAAAAAAAAACATGTATGTGTAGTGTGACCTAAGTGTAAGCAGAAGTAGCAAGACGTACCTAAAATCTTGCATGTTTATGAGACAGAAAAAAAGACACCAGCAATCCTACCATTATGTAAAACAAATACAGGCTTTTGTTTTACACTCACTTGGCAGGACGGTAGTACCTCCCTGGGCGGCTGCTGTCTACCAACCTACTACCAAGGAAAAATATAACTATAAACTAGTAAATGCTACTTGAAATATCCTAATAAAAATATGTACTAATATGAAGTAGTAAATTATACTCAAAATATACTAGTAAAATATACAATCGTGAAAACACTTTCTGCACACAGCAGAAGATGTTAACGTTTACCTAACTCTAGAGTGACCTAACATCATCAATGTTAGATCATGGTAGTGTTGTTCTAGGTGTTTTATCACTACCATCTTCAGTGTTAGATCATGGTAGTTCTGTTCTGATAAATTAGACATATGTGCAACTCTTGGATATCTTGATTGAGGAAACGTTTCGCCACACAGTGGCTTCATCAGTCCATACAAAGAGAAACGTAAAGAACAGGAAAAGAATGAGGTAATCAGTCCCTCAACCTTGAGTCGATGTGGTCAGTCCATCAATCTTGAAAAGAATACAGCATATCCGCGGAGAAGTAGCTGATGTACCGTAGACAGGAGAGGTGCAGCAGTCATAGGTGGTATCACATTTGTTCAGTGTGGAAGTAGATCATGCCCAAGGGTTAGGCAAGTGAAGAATTCCCAAGTATTAAGATCCCAAGAAGTTGTAGTGTCTGACAGGTTTGTAGATGAATGGTTCAGAGAACTGACACATTGATAAATTAGACACGTGTCTAATTTATCAACATGTCGGTTCTGTGAACCATTCATCTACAGTTCTGTTCTAGTTGTTTCATCACTACCATCATCAGTGTCAGATCATGGTAGTATTCTAGTTGTCATCACTACCATCATCAGTGTCAGATCATGGTAATATTCTAGTTGTGTCATCACTACCATCATCAGTGTCAGATCATGGTAGTATTCTTGTTGTGTCATCACTACCATCATCAGTGTCAGATCATGGTAGTATTCTAGTTGTGTTGTCACTACCATCATCAGTGTCAGATCATGGTAGTATTCTAGTTGTGTTGTCACTACCATCATCAGTGTCAGATCATGGTAGTATTCTAGTTGTGTTGTCACTACCATCATCAGTGTCAGATCATGGTAGTGTTCTAGTTGTTTCATCACTACCATCATCAGTGTCAGATCATGGTAGTGTTCTAGTTGTTTCATCACTACCATCATCAGTGTCAGATCATGGTAGTGTTCTAGTTGTTTCATCACTACCATCATCAGTGTCAGATCATGGTAGTATTCTAGTTGTGTTGTCACTACCATCATCAGTGTCAGATCATGGTAGTGTTCTAGTTGTTTCATCACTACCATCATCAGTGTCAGATCATGGTAGTGTTCTAGTTGTTTCATTACTACCATCATCAGTGTCAGATCATGGTAGTATTCTAGTTGTTTCATCATTACCATCATCAGTGGCAGATCATGGTAGTATTCTAGTAGTTTCATTACTACCATCATCAGTGTCAGATCATGGTAGTGTTCTAGTAGTTTCATCACTACCATCATCAGGGTTAGATCATGGTAGTATTCTAGTTGTGTCATCACTACCATCATCAGTGTTAGATTATGGTAGTATTCTAGTTGTCATCACTACCATCATCAGTGTCAGATTATGGAAGTTCTGTTCTAGTTGTGTCATCACTACCATCATCAGTGGCAGATTATGGAAGTTCTGTTCTAGTTGTTTCATCACTACCATCATCATTGTTATATCCCAAATGATCCCAAACCCCTCCTTTAAAGTGCAGGCATTGCACTTCCCACCTCCGGGACTCAAGTCTGTCTAACTGCTTTCCCTGAATCCCTTCACAAAATATTACCCTGCTCACACTCCAGCAGCTCATCACGTCCCAAAAACCATTCGTCTCTCTTCACTCCTATCTGACATGCTCACACATGCCTGCTGCATGTCCAAGCCCCTTGCATGCAAAACCTCTTTTACCCCCTCCCCCCATCCTCTCCTAGGACAATGCCTACCCCTCTTCCCCTCTACTACAGATTTAGACACCCTCCAAGTCATTATGTTTTACTTCTTCCTCTCTAAATGACCAAACCACCTCAGCAATCCCTCTACTGCTCTCTGAATAATACTTTTTGTAACTCCACACATCCTGATGTCCACACTACAAATTCTATGAAAAATGAATATGAATGTAGGTAGTAGGTTGGTAGACAGCAACCACCCAGGGAGGTACTACCGTCCTGCCAAGTGAGTGTAAAACGAAAGCCTGTAATTGTTTTACATGATGGTAGGATTGCTGGTGTCTTTTGTCTGTCTCATAAATATGCAAGGTTACAGGTACGTTTTTGCTACTTCTACTTACACTTAGGTCACACTAAACATACATGTACACGTTTATTTATACACACTCATCTGAGTTTTCTTAGATTTTATCTTAGTTCTTGTTCTTAGTACTTTTCCTTTTATATCCATGGGGAAGTGGAATAAGAATCTTTCCTCTGTAAGCCATGCGTGTTGTAAAAGTCAACTAAAATGCCAGGAACAATGGGCTTGTAACCCTTTTTCCTGTAATAAATACTAAAAAGAATAAGAAGAAAATTGTCAAAGTGGGAAGTCTGAATGTGCGTGGATGTTATGCGAATGATAAGAAAGAGATGATTGTGGATGTTATGAATGAGAAAAGCTGGATGTCCTGGCTTTAAGTAAAACAAAGCTGAAAGGGGGTGGGTGAGTTCCATTGGAGAGGAATAAATGGGATTAGGTCAGGGGTTTCAAATAGAGTTAGAGCTAAAGGAGTAGTAGCAATAATGGAAACATAAACACATATGCAGTTTAATGTGATCCTTTGTGACTTGAAAAAGCCCACACAGTGGGCTTTTTCAAGTCACAAACAGATCTACCTGGGGTGGAAGGTATGTGAGTATTTATAGTCAGGTGGAGAATGCTGCATCTGATGATCTACCGGGTGGGGTTATAGAGTCTAAAATCTTGGGTAGTTTGGAAGGGGTATTGGATAAGTTGTGAGCAGACCTTCTGCAGTGCTCTATGTTCTTATGTGGGATAGCGATGAAGAAGTTTCTAGGCGAGTGGTTCAGCTATGTTATAGAAGCCATTTTTCTGGTTGAAATTGTTGGTTATAGAGATAAACGATGATTTCAGGATTCTTCGGTATTGAGTATTGTCTTCTGTGGCGATAAGTCTTGAGTTTCTGTAGTTAATTAAATGGTTGTGTGAATTGCGATGTTTTACACAGGCATTCCTTGTATCATCAGTCCTGCTTGCGTATTGGTGTTCTGAAATATGTGTTTGGAGGTCTCTTGTTGTTTCACCCACGTATAATTTGTTGCAGTCATTACAAGGGATTATGTATACCCCTGCAGAGGATGGGAGCTTGTCCTGTCTACTGGTGATGTCCTTGATGGTCGTGGTTGTTGAGGTAGATACTTGGAATGAGGTATTGGAAAAGATGTTGGAAACATGTTTAGCAATGGAGTTGGTGGGGAGGACTATGTATCTCTTCTCGGCAGTGTCTTCTCTGGGTGTGTTGAAGATGTTTAATGCCCGCCGTCTGCAGTC